GAAACAGTCTTCAGATTCCGGAATTGCGAAACGTCGACTCTTCGATCCTGTTGCTTCTTTGGCCCAAAAATTCGGTTGTTCCTAAACATATGCAGTATTGGAATGGCTAAAAGGCAGCTATAAAAGTAAGTTGTACAAATTTTGTATCGACAGAAACTCCCAAAGTTTCAAAAACATTGGTTTCTAACGAAGAAAGAATTTGATGTGTGATACGTCTATGAACAATTATGGCAACGCCACCACAGGTTCCATCAAGACGATCATTTCGATAAATGAAATAATGTGCGTCCCTTTTAGCCTTATTCAGGTTTAAGGAACGTTTCAGTTATAAAATGTAATATGCACGTTATGAACTCTCAATAAGTTAAATAGCTCGTCCTCATTATTTTTAAGAGATCGAGCATTCCAATTCAAAATATTTAATGATTTAAAACCCATTACTGAATTTCAAAGTCATGACGATATTGTTCGCAAATTTTACTCCAGTTTGAATAGCATCAAACATGGAGGTAGTTTTCAGCACATCAATAATCATGTCAATTAATGATTTCTGAAAAAATCCATTTTAGGAGTAGTAATCCTTCCTGAGTCAAAATTATCAAAATTTCCGTTAGAATTATGTTGGATAGAATTTTGATTTCTACCATTTACTCGTTGAACATTGTTAGCAGCGAGGCGAGCAGGTATAGATTTAGAATTTGAAGCAGGGGTGATAAGTGTACCTACGGGTACGAATGTAGAATTTGTTCCTCGCTGACCGTTGTTAACAGCAGAGGAATTTGTACCTATTCGGGAACGTGGAGCGTTTCCTACCTGGCGCTTAGAACGAGATTGTAGTATTGCTTTGCGAGTCTTACATTTGATTTGTGGTTTTCACCACAATTTAAACATTTATCTTTTTTAGGATTTTCCTTCACAGGACAGTAGTCATTAACGTGAGAGGAATCACCACAAGTCATGCATTTAGCTGGCATGTAGCAATTTTTGGTTTCGTGACCCCACTCCTGGCACTTACGGCACTGGATGAGGTTTTGGAAATTTCCTCCAGTCTTACTGAAGTAATGGACATAAGGCTATCTTTTTTTCTAAGGCCTTAAGGTTGTTTAGTTCACTAGACTTGAAGTGAACTAAACAAGAATCCTTAGAAATCCTAATGCGCGAATCACCAGGACGGGATTTCATTCTCATTTTGATTTATTGGACTGGCTCAGCTCCAAGTAATTTTGTCTATTCATCTTTGTTCTGATCCAGGGATTCACCACTGGGCAGACCTTTCAAGACAACCTTGAACAGACGTTCAGTTTTGGTGGTGTAAGTGAAAAATGTGTGTTGCTTCTCACTAAGATACTTTAGAAGACGTTTGAACCCGTCAAAGGTTTCAGTTAATACACGGCCAATTTGCAGTGAAAACTTGAATTTAACGAAATTCAAAAGTTCCGTGCGAAGAGCATGGAAATCGGAAGTTGTTATCACAATAGGGGGTACCTTTTCCTTTTTGGCATTAAGCCGTGAATGTTTAATGGAATTTTGCCTGGATGATGGATCATTCTCATCATCGGTTAGCATATCAAATTGATTGCTCAAATAGATTTCATCAGAAGGCGGATCAAGAGATTGCCTTTTTCTTTTGCGTTTAGGCGCAAAGTTTATTTTAATTGCCTTCCAAGCAGATTACTATAAGAATCCGAAGGATCGAAGAGGAATTTACTAATTCAATATACTCGCGCTTAATTATATTTACCGAACCTTGGCAATAAGTTGTACTGAGATCTCAGCAACCATGACGTTTGTTTGCTGAGATTCAGCAAAACATATTCCAAGACTTAGCAACCAAACATCGCTTTTGCTGAGATTACAGCAAAATGTGTTTGTCTGGAGCTTGGCATTGGGCGGATCTGGTGGCATACGAATCGATTTAAAATAAAATGATAATGGAGAGGAAAAAATCAAGAAAACCATGTAATTTTTTTATATAATTCTACGGCTTAGGAGATATTCAGCCTACCAAATCAGTACTAAAGAATCCATCCTCAATTCAATTATCTTGCAATTATCTGCGACATTTCCTTGAAACTCCCCCAAAAATTCTGTAGGAATTCTCTTCGGAATCCAAATGACATCCCTCTACAAATTTTCTAGAATTCACAACCAGAAATTTTAGGTAGAACTCTCTTGGAACTCTTCCCGGATTCTTCTTGGAATTTGCCTGCACTCATGAAATCCTCCGAAACCTTCGCAGCCACCCTAAGATATCAAATGAAGAACCACTAACAATTCCCTTGGAATTCTCTTCAGAGCTCCCATGGAATACACAGAGACGAATGCTCAAGAAGTGTAAAGTCAAAATAGTCCATAGGCATTAACTGTCAAATTTTTCTTCAAATGTTTCAAGAATTCTCATTAATAGGAAAAATAGATGTAATGTCGGCCTAAATTCCCCTAATTTGGGCCTATACATAAATTGAGCAATCGACTAAATTTTCAATAGCGACCAAAAATATCCATTAGTACCGTTCCAATGACGCGTTCATGTATATGAAATTGATAAATTACAGATTTTTAGCCTAGTTATAGTATAGTATTATTTCCAAATGAGTATCTATCTCCAAGCCTTTTTTATGCTTAAAGTAATTAGTAAGCTTCAATTCATACTACAATTTTGCTAGAGAACATTGCTCGTTGAAGCCATTTCCATAGACTTAAAAAATTTGAGTTGATCATACAGGGGAGTCCCTTAGCTCAGTCAGTAAAGACGCAGCTACAAAGCAAGACCATGCTGAAGGTGGTTTTCGGGTTGGAAAATGTCTCGACTTCCCTAGGCATAGAAGTATGATTAGACTTGCCACTCAATTATACCAATGCAAAAATGGTACCAGGCATCGAAAGCTCTCAATTAATAGCTGTGGAAGTGCATCTAGAACACTAAGTTGAGAGCACGCAATAAGCTAATATGCGATATGCAATAAGCTTGAAATTCGAAGAAGAAGAAGAAGAAGAAGAAGAAGAAGAAGAATAAGAAGAATGCAGGAGAGTACAGGGTGATACAGTGAAAGACTCTTTAATTACTCAAAATTTTGATGCGCAAAAACCATGTTTGGAATTAATTTACTTAAAAAAACAAAATTGTAATATGTTTTAAAATTTTATAAAGTCAAAGAAAAATTTGAAAATTACTTTCAAGAATTTAACCATCAATCCAGATTTTTAAGCGTAACTTGAACATCCTTCACAATAAAAAAAATTAAAAATCAAAGGATAAACTTTTGAGAAAATTAAATATTTTTTTTTTTTTATTGTAGTCACTATAGTGTTATATATAGTGTTACTCTTGGGTCATTCGTGACTTGTCCGGGGTGAGATTTGAACTCGTGACTTTGGCGTGAGAGGTATGGATGTTAACACTACGCCGGGGTCCCCCTCGAAAATTAAATATTAAAATTATTATTCAAAAAAAATTATTAAACATGATTTTACAATGATTATTTCTCTCAGTGTATTTTTTTTTCGGATAGACCATACTATGTCCTACAACTTCTTGCCAGACGTCATTTCAAGTTTTAAAGTAATGATTTTTTTTAGAATTATATTTTTTTTATATTAGCCCTTATTAACAAATCAAGACCAACAATTGAAATGCCCTTAACTCCATTTTGTAAACAAAGGTTTGTTTGAAAATGGTCTTACAAGGTTGTTATACCATTTTCTCGCAAACCGAAACCTTCATTTGCAAACCTAAATCACAATCGGGTAGAGGAGAATTTCCCCTACTTGTTCATTATGTTGGTTTGCCTTTGTGGACTTCGGTTCGCGAGAAAATGGCCTTACAAGGTTTGTTTACAAAATGGAGTTAAAGCCATTTCAATTGTTGGTCTTGAAATAGTTCGGAATAATTTACATTTTTTTTGTGGAAAATGTTATCTTGGGCATCATCCAACAAATGTGCAAAGTTTCATTCAAATGGCTTTATTTTTGCTGGAAATACTCTATAGAATCTTACATTTCCCGGTTGGGTGTGGTAAAATGTTGATAATTATTCAAGACCAACCATTGAAAAGGCCTCCAGTCCACCAACTCGAAGCAACAAAATGAGCAGGTAGGGAAAATTCTCCTCTACCCGATTGTGTTTTAGGTTTGCGAATGTAGGTTGCGGTTTGCGAGAAAATTAAATTGAACAATTTTGACCATTTTCAGAACTAAGTTTCAACCAGTCGAATCGATTTAAAATATGTAAACGAAGTTCATTAAATGTTTGATCAGGAAGAAGTTATGAGAATCTTAATCTTTAATATTACGGTATTATTCGGGTCGCAAGTTGGTGGAATTTCTCAATTGACGAAAGATTAAGATCCACCACTTCAGCGAGCGATTGATTTGATATCTACCCCACCAAATTACACATACAAGCAACGACCAGCCAGGGCCTCGCAAAGAAAATCAATTGACCAGAGGGCACATCTTCCAACTGTCCCCGGTGGACACAAAATTTCCATTCGTACGATCCCCGTGTACGCAGCGCAGTCGCGTGTACAACTTGTAACATATTTACAAACAACATCAGCCCTCGGAGCGGGTAAACGGGTCTCACCTGCTGCAGCAGTAGTACACGCTATTTTCCCTTATCGCTAATTAAGCTGAAACCCGTTCATAATCAGAATAACTGAGTTAGGTGCCTCTAGTACGGTCATATAATGAATGCATATCTACCCAACTGAAAGCCACGCGCGCTCGTCATTTGACTTCGGGCGGGGGACCAACCCTTGGAGAGTCTGACGTCGTCGTCGTCGTGGTCGGCGGGTCAGAAGCATAAAATTAGATCATCCATCCCAAGGTGAAACCACCCGTGGCGTGTTACGAATGAATCGAAAAGGTCCTTTCTCATCGGTACCTACTACCTGAGCCATCTTCGAGAAAATTGCAATCTTATGTAAGTGGGAGGTGATTCCGTGGAAACAAAGGAAATATCATCGATGTGAGATAGTGTGAAAAGGAATCTAATTTACCTTGAATTCCGTTTTTTAGGATCCTTCTTCGCTGTTGTCTCTGCGTCAGGTCAAATCATGCAAGTCTCGGCGTATCGGTTACCAATGTTTACTCTCACTTTGTTTTTTTTTTTGGTTCAGCCAACACAGCAAAAACACCAAAAAACATCAATCGATTTCACTTCAAAATTTTCAGCAAGACAAAATATATTCATTCGTATTCATAAGCGACTTGAACGATGGCAAATCGCATCACCACCAGAGCAACCGGTCATCACTTGATGGAGTTTGAATATTCAAAAAAAAAGCTCACTTTTGTTGGCATTTCTTCTTTGGCATCACCACCACCGGAGATTGCAGCAACTGCCGTCGCCACCTCCACCGCTTCGTCAGGTTTCGATCAATTTCTGAACCATCCAAACTTACGGTTAATTATCAGCAAACGCACTCACACATCACATGCAAATGGATCGATTTCATCCGAATTTTTTATTTTTTATTTTTTCATTCGAGATAATTATTTCTTCTCTTTTTTTCGGTGCAAACAACTACTTCACACATGCGTTTTTTTTTTATTTATTTTTGCTTCACTGTTGTTGCTACAATCTTCTCAAGGTACCCACACAAATTTTCGATTGTTTAACAATTTAGCATTTCTTCAGCAGGAGACAATTTACTCTCGATCATATAACATCACTGACTGCGCTGCGCTGACTCTGACTCCTACCTTGAAGCCGGGCGTCTCTGGGGAGGTATTTTCCAATATAACTGCCGCCACAATCACCAAATAATAACATTCATCATCCGCCACATTTACATACAATTATCGATTTGTAAACTCCTTGGCCAACAGTCAGCTCCGCTTCGCTCGATCAAAGTTGTTATCTATGCACTTTTTAACGGACGTCGTTATTGATGGCTGCACGATTCGGTAAAATTGTCTGATTGAACTCATCCATCAACACTCAGAAACCTTTCGATCCAAATCGAAGCTAATGCAACACACCTTGCAAACATTTCGCCAGACAAAATATCCACAATTATACGTTGCAACGTCAACTACTTACTTCGTGAACTTGACACCCTACATGCACTGCACAACAACTGACTCAGCTGATTCTGGCTAAGCTTTTCAAGTTCAAAACCGTGGTCAAAACTCGTAGTTATTTTTTTTTTTTTCGTTTTCTTCACCTCACTTAACGATTTGCTAGAGGTCTTCTTCGTTGAACACCAAACAACAACCAAAATAATAACAGCTTCAGAGTGCACACCAAAACAGCCTAGAGAGTACAGAAATATACCACGCCGGTAACCGTACGCCAATGACGACCGACAACAACCGATCCGTCCGGACGGAAGGTTCAAACGAGACTACCAGCGCTCCGCTATGGATAGGAACGTAAACAGACAGCCCCCGAGCTCTGTCGGAACGGTGAGTGCGGTAAAGGAGAAAAACAAAATAATACACAGCGAGAGCGAGTTTGGGCGAACATTTTTTGCTCGGGTACCTCGACCAGGTAGGTATCCCGATGCTCATCATGCGGTGTGATGCTGCTTACACTGGGCTGAAGGAGGGCTTTGATCTCTATAGCAGCACCGGATGGGAGGGTGAGTAGCAACATAAGCGCATTAGAGAAAATAGAGAGAATCAGTGATCGGTCGGGGCAGAGAGGGAGAATCATGTAAACAGAGAGGTTTTGGAACAACAAAATCATGCGTTCGACAAGGGGTTATTCGGAAATTCTGGAATAATATGCACTTCGATAATGATATTGCTGATATTTGCCATGCGAATTTTCCAGATTCTCCAAAGTAAAATCTGCTGCAATTCTAAATTTCTAATTACCTATAGACGATTTAACGCTTAGCGGATAGAATTCTGATGTGCGTTAAGGACGGCATGACTAGGATATTTTGGGAATTTCAATATTCAAAGGATTTGATTGATTTCTTTATTATAGAGACTTTCAGCCGTTGGCGAGACGAACCCTGTGATATTCAAAGGAATTTAAATATGGTAAAGGCATAAAACAAGGCTGCCCTCTTTCACCGTTACTATTTAATTATTTGATGCAAAAAGTGTTGACCAAATATTTTTTTATTAATAACTTTATTTGTTCAGGCTCAATCGAATAAACTTTACAGAGCCGAGTTATCATTTTCGCTACACATTATTAATGTTTTATATTTAAAGTTAAAGGAACTGGACCGAATACTCGCAGTTATATCGAGGTTAGTGGAGATTTACTTTTTTATGGGAAAAGGGAGAAGGAGGTTTGAAATGTGCTTTACGATACAAATATTTAATTAATCCTAAAACTTGTACTTATTTCTATTCATCTTGAAAACAAACATAAAAAACCCACACGTATATAATACAAACTAAACACAAGGTTAATCAGACTAACAATCTAGGGTTATTATTCTTGAAGTAAACATATGGGTCATTCCAGCTCAAGTGGGTACACCACCTGTGGTCGATGTCACCGATTTGAGCCAAACTTGGCCAAAATGCTTATTTTGGAATTCTAAACAAACGCCTTTTTTGATTTTGCTCAGGAAATACGAGGAGTGCTTCATCGGCCTCATTGAACGAATAGCCTCCAATGAGCTAAGACTATCCGTAAAAATGAAATAATGGTCAGAAGGTAGTGAGAAAATTCGCTCTACTGCGTAAAATATAGCTGCGAGTTCCGCAACGTATACGGACCATGGTTTCTGTAGTTTATAGAAGGCGCTATGAAATTGATTAAATACACCAAATCCAGTGGAAGCATTTATGGTTGACCCATCTGTGAAAAATCTTTTATCGTTACTTATATGGTGGTACTTGAATGCAAAAATTGAGGGAACAACCATCGACCGATGGTGATTTGGTATTCCATGGATTTCTTGCATCATGGTCAGATCAAAATTTACAGAGGAACTATAGAAGGCTTGAAAGCAATCCCGATTGGAGATTAATGAAGAAGGACCAACCTCCAGCGTCATGTACTCATAGTACAAACTCATGAATCTTGTTTGAGGATTTCGGTCGAGCAGCTTCTCAAAGTGCTCTATTACCAAAGGATTCAATACTTCACAACGGATAAGAAACCGGAAAGACAGCTCAGTGAAACGATCTGTCAGTGGGAGAACACCCGCGAGTACTTCGAGGCTCATCGTATGAGTCGAGTGCATTCAGCCTAGCGCAATACGAAGGCAACGGTATTGAATCTGTTGCAGCTTAAGAATGTGTGTTTTTGCTGCGGATTGGAAGCAAAAGCTGCCGTGCTCTAAAACCGAAAGGATGGTTGTTCGGTACAACCTGATCAGATCTTCCGGGTGTGCTCCCCACCAAGTTCCGGTAATTGTACGAAGAAAATTGATTCTTTGTTGGCATTTTTGTTTCAGATACGCAATATGTTTTCCCCATATGCATTTGGAATCGAACCAGACACCTAAATACTTGAAAGATATACTTTGAGTGATAGTTCTACCCTTTAGTTGAACTGTGATGCTTCCTAGAAAAAACAACCAACTCAGTTTTCTCCGGAGAGAATTCGATACCCAGCTTCATAGCCCAAGTAGACAAATTGTCTAAGGTATCTTGCAATGGTCCTTGCAGGTCCGGTGCACTTGGCCCTATAACGGACACAACCCCGTCATCTGCAAGCTGCCTTAGCGAGCAATTTTCATCAAGACAACCATCAATGTCTTTTACATAAAAATTATAAAGAAGGGGCCCATAAAAATGAGCCCTGGGGGAGACCCATGTAACTAATTCGTGAAGTTGTCGAGTTTCCATGAGAAAAGCTCATATATTTCTCAGACAACAAGTTGCTCAAATAGTTGTTCATAATTGGTGAAAGCCCACTATCGAGGAGTTTATCCGAAAGGACATCAATACAAACAGAATCAAAAGCCCCCTTAATGTCCAAGAAAACTGAACCAATTAGCTGTTTTTGTGCATAGGCCAGTTGAATTTCAGTTGAAAGCAACGCAAGACAGTCGCTCGTTCCTTTGCCTCTCCGAAATCCAAACTGCGTATCTGAAAGTAAACCATTCGACTCGACCCATTTGTCTAGACGAAAAAGAATCATTTTCTCCAACAATTTCCGTATACAGGACAGCATCGCGATGGGACGGTACGAGTTATAATCCGACGCGGGTTTACCGGGTTTTCGAATGGCGATAACTCTTACTTGCCTCCAATCATCCGGAACAATGTTGTGCTCCAGAAATTGATTGAATAAGTTCAACAAGCGTCTCTTCGCGACGTCTGGGAGATTTTTGAGCAAGTTGAACTTGATTCTATCCATTCCTGAAGCTGAGTTGTTACATGAGAGGAGAGCAAGTGAGAATTCCACCATCGAAAACTGAGAATCTTTTTTGTTACTACCCGACGGACTATCACGAACGTTGGTTTGAACCGACACCGAATCCGGGCATACTTTCCGCGCGAAGCTGAATATCCAACTGTCTGAGTACTCCTTGTCTTCGTTGACCGGTGATGACGCGTTTCGCATTCTCCTGCCGACATTCCAGAGCGTTCTCATGGAAGTCTCTCGTGACAAACCATCGACGAACCGACGTCAGTAACCGCGTTTTTTGGCTTTAATCAAGCTCTTAAAAGTTTTCTCGAGGTCGGTGTACCGCTCGAAGTCCCCGACCTTACCGTGTTTGCGGAAGCGTTTAAACGCGGCGGACTTCTCGCTGTTCGCGTTGGTGCAATCCTTATCCCACCACGGAGTGAGAGGTCGTTTGCGAACGGAACCACCCGGAACGCGTTTCGTCTGTGCTTGAAGAGCGCAGTCAACGATAAGTCGCGATAAAAAGGAGTACTCGTCCAGCGGAGGGAGTATCTCAACCGATTCAATACCACCGAGAACCGTGGCCGCAAATTTTTGCCAGTCGATATTTTTCGTGAGGTCGTACGCGATGTCAACCGAGCGAGTGGAAGGTGAACCATTGGTAATAGAAATTTTGATTGGCAAGTGGTCACTACCGTAGGGATCTTGAATTACTTTCCACGAGCAATCCAACGATAGTGAACTCGAACTGAGGGAGAGGTCTAATCTACTTTCTCTTGCTGGAGGTTTGGCCACTCGTGTTACTTCCCCAGTGTTTAGAATTGTCATATTGAAGTTATCGCAAAGGTCGTATATCAGGGTTGAGCGGTTGTCATCGTACATTTCCCCCCAGCCTGTACCGTGGGAGTTAAAATCTCCTAAGAAACCTTGGCGAGAAATCGCAGTTCTTGGAGGAAGATATACTGAGCACATCCTTTTTAGCGATGGGCCCAATGTTAGATCCATAGGCCAACATTAGAGCTATTTCCCCTATTTATTCTTGAAGACATTATTTTTCTTTACAACTTTGTCCGTTCCGTTACCGTTTTTCAATTTTTTGAAAAATGTCAAAGTCGCCATTTTGAAAATTTCAAAAGATCCAAAATGGCCGATTTTCAGCAAAAATGCAAATCATTGCCAAAAGTTTTAAGTTTGCTCATCACAAACTTCCGATTTGTCATTTGGCGTGGAACTGCTCAAAAGAGAAAATTAAGAAACGGTCATTAACACCTTCATTTTCATGAATGTTTAAATAATTTCTAAATATGTCAACTTGTTAAATGTGTAGCTGAGTTATATAGATAAAGGAGTCAACTTTACAGCTAAAAAAAGTATTGTAAATTTCCGTTACTGTGATGCACGTAAATGGAGCGTCATATATAAATTTACATTATAGATCGTGTAAACTTATGAGACATGTCATGCAATATTCCATATATTGTACGCAACTGTCCACTTTTGTTTGCCACATTTCATGCAAGCTGCTACACACTTAGAAATAACTTATTTTACACGTGACGGAATCCATCTTTGACATAAAAGATGATACGTAAACAAACATGTCATGTAATATTTAGTGCTCCTAGACTGAAAAGTGTGCTGCTCGACGAAAAGTACGTTTGATTGAGCTACACACTTAGAAATACCTAATTTTACATGTGACGGAATCCATCTTTGACATAAAGGAAGAGACGTAAGCAAACATGTCAAGTAAAATTAAGTGCTCCTAGACTGAAAAGTTCGTTACTCGACGAAAAGTATCTTTGATTGTGCTAAATTTCACGTCTATAATGACAGAATTTTATGTCAAATTTGACGCTCGTATATGTCAGTCTCAGAGCACCTAAATTTACATGAATTTTTCTAAGTGTGTATATTTCGCGTCTGTTATAACTCAAATTTAAGTCAAAATTAACGCTCGTATGTGTCACTCTCAGAGCACCTAAATTCACATGATTTTTTCTAAGTGTGTACTGAAATCGAAAATGTTTTTTGAATTTGAAATTGTATCAATTAAACTCCCT